ACAATGTTCACCTGACCTTGACCTCATTTCATGGATCAAAGGTTAAGTTTATGTGGTCAAGTCCTTATCTCAGATACTATAAACAATAGGTCAACTATATTTGGTGTATGGAATGATTGTATAGTGTTCATGTCTGACTGGCAGGTTTCATGTGACTTTAACCTCATTTTAATGGTTCATTGGTCAATGTTGATTTTTTTCTGATTTTGTCTACTTGTCAGATACTATAAGCAATAGGTCAACTATATTTGGTGTATAGAATGATTGTAAGGTGTATATGTTCTTCGGATAGGATTCATCTGACATTGACCTCATTTTCATGGTTCATTGGTCAATGTTAAGTTTTTATGGTTTTTATACGAAAGCAAAAAAATTTTGTGGTCATATATTGGTATGACGTTGGCGTCGTCGTCATCGTTGTCGTCGTCGTCATCCAATAACACATTGGTTTTCGCACTCTAACTTTAGTTTAAGTGAATGGATCTCTATGAAATTTTACCATAAGGTTCAATACCACAAAAGGAAGGTTGGGATTGATTTTGGGGGTTATGGTACCAACAGTTAAGGAATTAGGGGCCAATAAGGGGACAAAAATAAGCATTTTTGTAACTTCCAGACATAACTTGTGTGTTAGTGTATGGATCTCTCTGACCTTGTACCACAAGGTTCCATATCACAAAGGGAATGCTGGGATTGATTTTGGGGGTAATTGCCTCCAAATTTAAGGAATTAGGGGCCAAAAAGGGGCAAAAAACAAGCATTTTTCTAGTTTCATGACAATAACTTATGTGTAAGTGTATGGATCTTTATGAAATTGTACTACAAGGTTCCATATCACAAAGGGAAAGCTGGAATTGAGTTTGGGAGTAATTGCTCAAAACGTTTAGGAATAAGGGGCCAAAAAGGGGCTACAAATAAGCATTTTTCTAGTTTCCAGACAATAACTTGTGTTCAAGTGTATGGATCTCTCTGCAATTGTACTGCAAGGTACCATACCACAAAGGGAAGGCTGGGATTGATATTGGGGGTAATTGCTTCAAAATTTTAGGAATTAGGGGCAAAAAAAGGGGCAAAAAACAAGCATTTTTCTAGTTTCAGGACAATAACTTGTGTGTAAGTGTATGGATCTTTATGAAATTGTACTACAAGGATCCATATCACAAAGGGAAAGCTGGGGTTGAGTTTGGGGGTAATTGCCCTAAACGTTTAGGAATTTGGGGCCAAAAAACAAGCATTTTTCTAGTTTCCAGACAATAACTTGTGTAAGTGTATGGATCTCTCTGAAATTGTATTGCAGGTACCATACCACAAAGGGAAGGCTGGGATTGAGTTTGGGGGTGATGAATCATAAGGGGGTTCAAAAAATTTGGGGGGGGGGATTTTTTTTTTCTTTAAAATTTTCCATTTTAAATTTGTTATTTCTGATTTATATATAAAAGCAAATAATAATGATATGGTTTGAATAAGTAAATTAAAAAAATTTAAGTTCTTAGACCACATTCATTCTGTGTCAGAAACCTGTGCTGTGTCAAATATTTAATCACAATCCAAATTGAGTGCTGTATCAAGCTTGAATGTTGTGTCCATACTTGCCCCAACTGTTCAGGGTTCGACCTCTGCGGTCATATCAAGCTGCGCCCAGCGGAGCATTTTATTTCAGTTTATCTCCATCCCTGTACCATATATATTCTGAATTGCCATGACAAGACCTTTTAAGTGCACCATAGACATTGTTTATGAATGATGACCTTCATATTACCGGTATAGTATTATATATATATTGAAAACAATTAAGATTCTCTCCTAATAACCATAAATACATATTCTTATTTGACAGTTACTTTTCAGTACTATAATGTTTTTGTGTGGCCTTTTCTTTATTGGAATAACTTCTAGAGAGGAACCTGAGTCATTAGTTTTAATCCAATAAAACAAACTCAACTATGCCATATGGGTTTGCTCATTGTTGAAGGCTGTACAGTGACCTATAGTTGTTAACTTCATTGTCATTTAGACTCTGGTGGAGAGTTATCTCATTGGCAATTACACCACATCTTATTTTGATCTCACCTGGCCCAAAGGGCCTCTGCGGTCGTATCCAGCTGCGCTCGGCAAAGCAGTTTATTGTCCATTATTTTGAAAACTGTTATAGAGAAAATCAGACACGTGCAAAAATGTTCAGAATGATGGGCTCTAACAATTGTCCATGTAAGTCAAAACTGTCAAACAACTTCTTATAAGAGTTTTTGCCCTTAAATGACAAATTTTACCATTTTTTTATTTCAGTTTTGCCTTTTATCTTGAAAACTATAATAAATAGAGAGAAACTTTAAAATGAAAAAATGATCAGCAAGACAAGTTCTACAAATAAATCAAACATGGTGGAAATCGTCAGTCGAATCCTTTTTAGAATTATTGCACTTTGATGACGATTTTTACCAAATGTTTTGCGTTTTTGCCTTGTATCTTAAAAATTATAATAGATAGATAGAAACTTAAATAAGCAAAAATGATCAGCTAGACAAGATTTACAATTAAGACAATGTAGAGGAAATTGTCCATTGACTCCTTATTGGAGTTATTGCCCTTTAATGTCGATTTTTACCATTTTTTTTTGCATTTTGCCTTACTGTGGATTCATTTATTTTCGTGGGTACCAATTTTTCGTGGATTAAGGAAAACTTGCATGTTCGTGGATATTTAATTTCGTGGTTTTGACAAAACCTGCATACATGCCTACAGAAAATTTGTCATTCCTTGAACATTTAATTTCGTGGTTCACCTGTACCCACGAAATCCACGAAAATTGGTATCCAACGAATAATAATGAATTCACAGTATATGATAAAAATTATAATAGATAAATAGACACTTTAAATAACAAAAATTATCAGCAAGGCAAGATCTACTAACAAGTCAAATTTTGCTGATTTTGTTAGTAGACTGTCATCCTTTATAGAAGTGATTGCCCTTAAATGAGGATTTTTTTTACCCTCTTTTGTGTTTTGAGCAAAAATTAAAGAAGATCGAGAGAAACTAAACAGACTTTTAAATGATCAGCAATACAAGATCAACAAAACAGACTTTTGTCATGAATTCTATTCTGGTCTACAATGTTGGAGAATTTCCTTTGTTGAATATGCACATAGACCAAGGTGAGCGACATAGGCTCTTTAGAGCCTCTAGTTATATCACCTAGTTGATGTATTGTTTTACATCCATGTTCAGTTCTCAGATAGTGAGTCAACTACGTACTATCATACATGTATCACTTAAATTCTGATGTGTGTTCAGTTAGTTTGGAAATTCTGGGGTACACTGTTATCTGCATGTTTTTCTACCAAGATAAATTTTGAGGAATGTCCAGCTTGTTTAAAAACTAGTTTTATTAAAAGGTAACTTCTGTTGCATGTATAGCTTGTTTTTTTAACTAACAGGTATTAAGATCAACATGTTTTAGATATCAAATTAATTCTGAGTTATGCTGATTATGTTTTATAGTCGACAGATAAGGTCTTACAGTCCTAAAACTTTCGAGTGTGAATATCATACTCAGACTCAGAAATCAACCAATCAAAATACAGGATTTGGCATTTTGAGCACAAATTTTGTACTCCACGTAAAGTTTTAAGACCAAGAGCCCTGATCTGATATATAACCAGAATGTTTTCTTTTCCTTGGTGGTCTTGTTGCAGGGTGGTTGCCGTGTGGCAGTCATCTGGCCCCAACTTCATTTTTATGGTTCATTGATCCACTTATTTATAAGTGATAATGTCCATTCTTCATTTTCTGAATTAATGAAACCTTATAGTATTCGGTAAATGCTTACAATGTCCAATGTAAGTCTGATACATTGTACTGGTATATGTTGTAATACCTATCAATATATTCAGACATAGCGAATTATGCAGGTATGCTGATTCTTGTTTTATACCTTGACAGGTATATACGGAGTTATGACTAGCTTGTTTTATACCTTGACAGGTATATACTGAGTTATGACTAGCTTGTTTTTATACCTTGACAGGTATATACGGAGTTATGACTAGCTTGTTTTATACCTTGACAGGTATATACTGAGTTATGACTAGCTTGTTTTTATACCTTGACAGGTATATACGGAGTTATGACTAGCTTGTTTTATACCTTGACAGGTATATACAGAGTTATGACTAGCTTGTTTTTATACCTTGACAGGTATATACGGAGTTATGACTAGCTTGTTTTATACCTTGACAGGTATATACTGAGTTATGACTAGCTTGTTTTATACCTTGACAGGTATATACAGAGTTATGACTAGCTTGTTTTTATACCTCGACAGGTATGTACGGAGTTCTGACTAGCTTGTTTTATACCTTGACAGGTATATACGGAGTTATGACTAGCTTGTTTTATAAGCAGATAAATTCTGAGATTTAACAAGTGTGTTTTATAACTCACATATGAGTAAATTGTTGTGTAACTAAAAAGGGACATTATTTGGTAATCTCTGCACCAACTCGGTGAAGATTCCATAAACAACATGCAAGATGACAGAAATTTTTGACATTTCTTCAAATGAAAGTTTTTCATTAACAGTGATCTATTCTCCCAGTGTGTCCACCTACAAAAGATACAAACTATTGTGTCCTGAATATGCCTTTATTATTCTCTATTTTTTATTTAACAACTGATAAATAATGATATCAATCCTTTTTGTTATCCTGGACAGACACTACCGAATGTATAAATAACTATAAACATAGCAGTAAACTGTATTGTTTTTTCTTTTTTAAATACATGGAGTCTTGTCTGGTCCTTGTTCACTAAATCATTGAAGGGAAGTATAGTGTTTTCTTTTTTGTAAATACACTGAGTCTTATCTGATGATTTACGACTATGAACCTTGTTGTAAAGTGTAGTGTTTAGTGTTTTCTTTTTTGTACATTCTTCAAGTCTTGTCTGGTCCTTGTTTTGTTTGAAATACAAACATAACTGAAATATGATTAACACAGGCAAAATCTGAGACATAATTTATTAAATGAGTTGCACTCTATCTGTCGACATACAGGTTTTACAAACCTGACAATAAATGCCTAGTCTTATCTATTATAAGCAATCACAATACACAATTTGTATACATTTTGCACACAATCCATGATTAAAGATAAACTTACACCCCTATAATCCCTTATTTAGATATGAAAGTGTTCTACTTAATTTCCCTTCTAGCTGTTTAATCCAAACATCAAATGACCAACTCTAACCATACTAGCTTGATTTAAGACAATGAAAGTATCTCTTATACTATGTACTATATTTGAGGTCCTTTTTTCTTCATATTTTTCAGTTATGGTTTTGACACTGTTTTAACTGTTAGATCCATTAAAACAAAATGATAAGGTCCAAACCTGTAGAGCTCACCTGACATCTCTGAATAATACTGAGCCAGTAAGATTTAAAAAAAAAATTACTTGTTACATAAAGTATCGAAACTCCATCAAATTGTCACACAAACGTCATTTCAAATAAAAAAATTACAGTGTTATAAGTTTTGGAAATTCCTTTTATAAATAATTTGAAAGTAACATGTCATTTAGAACCATTTGAATGTCAAAAATAAAAGTAAAACCTCTCTGGGAACCCCATAGAAAAAAAATTAAGATATGGATTCTCAAATACTCATGCAGAACTTATTAACTATGACAGACATACTGAGATTTGTATATGAGCTGTAACTACAGTAAAGTAACCAGTGACTGCAGAACAATAGAAAAGTAAATCTTTTGATAAATTTTGAATCATTAAAGTCAACAAATATTTTGTCCAAAATCAGACACTTCACTAAAAAAAAAACATAATTTTGATGGTTTTCATTCTTTTTGATGCATAGTTTGCTGAAGCATGCATAGACAGTGGACCTCACTGAACACATGGACCATTTCAAATGCTTATATTGAAGGAAAAAAGTTCTGGCTATGGCAGTCTACTGAAACCAATCCAGCAAAAACTTTTTTTCTGAATTTTCCTAATCTGGGGCTTTAGCTGTAAATATATGTATGGAAAAAGACACCCTAAGGATGAGTCTTGTAAAAAATAGTTCAATTATCAGTGTTTTCAGAGGAAAATATGGTTTTTCATTTACTAACAAAAAAGAATGATGAAATACCAAAGTGATGGCAATAGCTTGTATGGACCTGCAAGCCAAGTGAGCTAGATTTGGATTGACTATAGGTCAACAAATTCAAATACAAATGTGTAGACTGACAAAAATCTATGTCACATTTCTAAATGTTCACATTAAATATTAATTTTAAATCATAACAAAACAAAATACCCACTTACAGCAAAAACATAACAGTTGAACCATAACAAAATCTTATTTTGTGTTATCAAGACTAAGATTTTAATGGTCATATACATGTTTTTAGACAAATATAACTTTCAAGTTTTAATCATAAAACTGCACATTCAAAACATTGCCTTCTAACATGTCTAAATAAGTTTGTGAAAAAAATTTGGTGTTCACTAGTATCCTATCTTGTATTTGTTATTTGTCCCTGTGAAACACCATTTTGATGTTGGGACAGTAGATAAATACAGTCAATTATCATTTCTTTTTTTCTATTTCTTACAGTTTTTCATGACAAGACCACCATACATTTTAATTTAAAAATTAGTACATAGGTGTCGGTTATTAAAATAAATGAAGAATGTGTCCATGGGACACAGATGATGTCCCCACTTGCATATAACATTATAATGGAACATTACTCTAGAACAGTAAAGTGATGCCACCCTAATTCAAATGTGATCTGTGTTTTGGGGTAATAAGCATTGTGTATAATTTCGGGACATAAGTACAGACTTACAGATGGACAAGGGTAACACTCAATGCCCCCTCCGCTGCAATGGGGGCATACAAAACATTGCATATGACCATTAAAATCATTATCTAATTCACTCTCTAATGGCAGTCTTAAATTGTTTCCATATTTAGGTATTTTTTCTAAGCGTTCGAAATTTCACTCAACTGAGAAAAAACTTTATGGAAAACATCAATATTATTTATCTGCAAATAGATAAGGATAAAATGAACCAGTTGACATTTTGATTATATTACTAAGATGTTATATATAGAAAATGTAAAAGGTAATTGTTTGCTCATAAATGCTGGAAAATATTCAAAACAAAACAACACATGTAAAACAGTAATTAAAACAATTTAAAAGATTTTTAAAAAAGTTGACAGTTTATAACTGATAAAAAATGACTAGAATTTCAAAATAAATCATCTCAAAACATTTTCATTGTCAAATAATGTACACAACATATAAATATGCATCTAAAATTCATAAAAGTTTGTTCTAATACGGCTATTTTAAGGAATCAGGAAGAATGCTTTCATTGGTTCATTTGGCATAGTTATTTAAAATGGTTTTGAAGAAAACATTAAAAATGACAGCATCCCTATAAAAGATTAGACATGCAATAAAAGTACCAAAATATGACCTCATAGATACCTCATACTTATACTGAACTTAACTTCAAAGGATCAGACTGACATATATTCTAGTATTTTTAACCTCAAAGGAAATAATACCAACAATTGCAGGCTGTTTTTGATCGTAAGATAAAGTTCAGAATTAACTATTCTGATAAAAAAAGTAAAAAAAAAAACCAAAAACTATGGAACTATTTTCTTCCATACTTTTCTTCTTTCATTTATGTCATGGTTACATAAATTTTACATATACATATATATCAAAAAAAAAAAAATACGACAGCACCTGATCACATATTACAAATGTATACATGACTTATATGTGTGTAACATACTGAGACAGATTTATACAGCACTATAATCTATGGATTGTAGAAAGTAAACAAAAAAGGTTTTATATTCCTAATTATTTCTAATGTTAACATGTATTACAGTCTAATTGCTGCAGTATAAAACATACTAAACGATACTATCTTTGTTTTGGGTGGAAACAGATCATATATTCTGGTACTAAGTTTAGTTGATTCTCCTTGATTAGGTGTCTCTTAGCAATGTCTCGCGCTAATGCCTAAGATAATACAGAAATCTTTTATGATAATATACAAATCTTTTTTCTCCACGATCCTTTACTTTTAGTTCTTATGATGGAAAACTATGAACAAATGTGGCATTCAATGAGACAAAAAATATAAATGACACATTTCTCTTTTGTTTAAAAAAACTTAAATGTTGACTAAGTATAAATGTTTGATGTAGGACTGATATAAGCAAGATCCAAATGATTACAGAATCTGATACAAATACTGAATTTTCAGGGTCCTGAGTTTAAAAACAGGCTTTCAACTGAACAATTATAGAAAAGTTATACACAAATTACAAAGATCTGAATTAAAATTACAAAAAAATGTAAGTTTAATATGCTCCAAATACCCAAATTAAGACAAGTTCCTTGTTAACATATTGTTCATTGTTTTTCTCTGCACTATAATGGTTGCATGAAACATTAAGATTATTATGTCATCTGAAACTAAACAAAAATGAATTTCACTGGTATATTAATACAACAGCAGTTACTGACTAGTCAATTGTGTATCTGAACTCCTCTTTGGTGGTGGGGGAGGTACTTTTCCTTTCTTTGGAACCCCTCCACCAATTCCCTCCAACAGTTCTGGTGGTGGGAGGGGAAGATCATTAATATCAATGAGTCCCTCACATTCACCCAAGATTTCATAAAGGGGGTCGTAATTTGGCACAGAATGTATATCAGCACTAGTAGTTTTGATTTCACTTGAAAGTCTTGTATTTTCACTCCTTTGAGGGGGAGGAGGTGGCGGTCTTGACTTATTGCCTATATTTGAATTAGGCCTTGAAGGCAGAGGTCCATTTGGAGAAGTTACTCCTAGTTCATAAGAATTAGCACCATTGTATTTTTGAATATTTTTCGGTCCACTATCAGGCTTTGGCAATGTAGCCGGAGGAACTTTGCCACCTGCTCTTTGTGGTCTCTGAGATAATTCTGATAGAAATGGTAATTGTTGTGGTAGATGACAATGATCGTCACTGGATGAGACAGATGATTGCACAGACATGTGATTTTGTGGTTGATGAGAATTTCCATAACTGTCATATATTGCACTTGTTTTCCCAAGATTAGACTGTGGAATCATAGAACTGTTTGATGTTGGCATAGAAGATGACATAACACGCTGTGGACCACATTGATACATTTGGTCATAAGGTCCAGCAAATTGTGGTCCACTTGTTGTCATGGCATTAAAATGCTGTCCTTCAGGAGAATACATTGTCGGCGATATCACATTTTGAGAATTTTGTGAATTATATGCTTGGGTACTACATGATAATGGAGATGGTCTGTGTTTTTGTGTTGGCATGTTATAAGCACCTGGCTGATGATTCACTATAGGAGGTGACATCTGTGGTGCATGCGTATGAACAACAGTTTCAGGTCCAGTTTTTCGTAATGGAGTAATTCCTCCTATTTCCAAGCTTACATAACGATTCTGCAACAAAGGCATTGCAGGAGGCATAGGTACACAACTCCGAGGGGTTGATGGAGAAGATTCTGCATCATTTTGCATTGAGTAACTGGATTGTATTGAAGCTGCTGTCTGAATCATTGCAGGTGGAGCAGGAGAAGGTGGTGTAGCAAAATCAGAGGAGACAGGAGGTGACATCTGTGATGCTATTGGATGAGACAATGGTAGTGCATTCTGGGGGAAATGTTTAGACGCAGGAGGTGACATTACTAATTGTGAAGCTGGCTGATGGCTGAGCATTGGAGGTGACATTATTGCATGTGGTAATGATTGTGGCATGACTTTGTTTGACACTCCAGGTGAAGTCATTTGATATGGAGCTGGTGTAGCCATTGACTTGTTTGACATAGGAGACATGAGTGTTGATGGAGGTTGTGGGTATGATGACATCTTGTGACACTCTCCAGGAGGGACTGGAAAATGGTCCTCAGTACTAAGATTGCTGTAATGACTAGAACTAGAACTTGACCTAGAATGAGAGGTCATCTCTCGCTTGACAGTAGGTGGTGACATAACTCTCTGGATAGGTGGTGGTGGTGGTGATGTCAAACGTTCTCTCATATTACAGATAGTTGAATTAGTCGGGGGTGGTGGTGGTGTACAAAGCCTTTCCCTACTTGGTGCTGGAGACATTACTCTGTTAGGAGGTGGTGATATTGGTAAACTTGAATAAGGCGGAACAACTTCTTCAATTGGTTGAATAGGTCTAGTTGGTGGTGGAGTTTGTGGTCGTTTATAATTCTGTGTCGATTGCACTTGTTTGTTGGGAGGGGGCGGAGAACCTGTTCGTTTTACATCAGTCAGTAATTGTTGCCCATGAATACCTGATATTTTGTCACACTGATTTTGACGATTTAATGAATCTTGCGACGAGTTAGATCCCTTCCTTTCATGATGAGATTCTTGTATGTATCTGTCATTGGGAATAGCTTGAGAGCGAACTTTTAATTCTCTTGAACCATCTGAACCTTTTCTATCATGTCGTGATTCCTGAATTCCTCTTTCTGACGGAATAATTTGGGAGCGAACCTTTAATTCACGAGATCCATCTGAACTTTTTCTCTCATGTCGTGATTCTTTTACTCCTTCATTAGAAGCTTTACGAGAATGAATCTTAAATTCTCTTGAGTCATCAGAACTCTTTCTTTCATGCATATTTTCATAAAGTGGCTCTTTGTCTCCAGAAATTGAACGTACTTTGAATTCGCGAGATGAATCTGAACTCTTCCTTTCATGTCGAGTTTCTTTCCCTTCTCCATGAATGACAGGAGCAGATTTCCTTCTGTCTTTTTCAGTAAAACTATGAGAATGAATCGGACTTGTAAGTGAGGATTTCCTTTCATGTGTTCCATAAGATTCACAAGATGATATACTACTTCCATCCATTGTTTGTTGATACATTTCAGACATGTGTCGTGTGGTTTCAGTTGTAACTGGTATTCTAGCTCGCATTTTGCTTGCACGAGAAACACTATTGAAGCGCATTTCTCCACTTGAAATAGAATCCTCACTTGATTCTGTTGAAGAACTAGTTATAGAATCTCTGTGCCGTAAGGGAACAATTTCCTCTCCCTCAGAATTTATAACAGAATGTGTATTACTGAACGACACACGTTTAACAACAGGTCTTTGCACTTCATACATATTCTGCCCTGTTAAAGAGGATTTGCGTTCATGATGTGATGTCATCTCTAAACACATGATTTCATCTGAAGATTCACATATAGTTGTATCACTCCCAGCGCTATTTCTTACTAATGTAGAATTCTGAACGTGAACTATTGAATGACGAGATCCAGGTTCTGGCATCGACAAACGACTATCTTGTAAGCTACTTCCAGGAATAAATTCCAAACTTTCATCAAATGTGTCTGGATCAGAAACACTTGTCCTAAGTTCTCTAGAGTCCCATGTTGAGACTTCAGTTCTCAGTTTTTCATAATTATCCTGTAATTGTTTGCCATACTGAAACAAGATAAAATGTAAATTAAGTTTATCATCTTCACCAGCTTATTCAAATTACTATATATTCTATGTAGACTTGCTTAAACAACAACATGTTCACCTGAACTTTACACATACTCTGTTCTTTTTGCTCAAGTGAAGACCTCACTTTGACTTTGAGATGAAGAACGGCAAAAAAGCTCTGTTCATTTGCTTTTGATTTTTTACATTTGCTTGTAGTGATTTTGTATCATAAATTAATATATCAAATCCTTTCTTTTGAATTTAAAGGAGGCTGTAGTTAGTTTTGTAGTTTATGTTATAGCTTGTCCATTTTAACTGGTAAATTTTCAATTGAACTATGATCTCTTGTTTTATCAAAACAATCTCACATATTTTGTCTTAACATTATTTCATTGTTTTAAGCCTTATATTTCATACTGCCATCAAATGTGCTAGATAGAATGAAGTTGTTTCATTTAATCCAAGCAAAATCAATTACTGTAATTTCTGAAGTTTGTTTTTTCACTATTGCATTTTTGTTATCAATTAACAAAAGTATGAGACTATTAAATTAAAATGTGATTGAAGAAAATCATTAAAAATGCAATGAATTTCTACTTAAAATTTTGAAAGCATTAGACAAATTTTTGATATTTACAGTTTAACAAATGCCATAATGGTTTTTAGTTCTGAATACAAGATTGTACTATACAATGAGTAGTCCTATGTGTACCTTAGCCATTCTAATACCCATGATCCACTGATCCAATGCAGCTTTGTTTTCTGTACAAAAGTAGCGTATGTATTTTGATGTTTTCTTCTGAATCTGAGGATGCTACAAAATAAAAAGTGAATACAATGTATGATGGTTTCTAACAATCAAGCACTTATATTATGCAAAGCATCAGCTATTTAAATAACATGTGTATAATAAGATACATTCATTAAAATAGTCAAATCAATACATTTTCTACTAATTTCCATTAAAATGTCTCCACCATATCTGTCATTAAACCACAACTCACACAAACACTGTATTCAAATTTAACAAAATGTTATAAATAATGAAATTCTCAAATTTTGTTTTTGTTTTCAATAAGCCACAAAATAGATGCAATTGATTACGTGATTGCCTCCCTTAGACTGCCAATTGCTATGAACTTATAACAGAAATCAAGTATTGAAGGTAGTTTTTCAGTGTTAATTTGGTTAAATTATCATATACTGCTGTCATCAAAAACAAAAATTTTAACAGGAAACAGAAAATACGCAAAAAAAAAAAAAAAAAATAGGCAACACATGTATTTTTTTCTTTATAACTTACTATTAAATTGGAAATTTTTGCCAAATATAGTTTTTTTTTTAATTTTATATGCACCTGCAGACTTGTAATATTAATTAAAGGAAAATAAAAGGAAGGTACAACTGATAATAAAATACAAAATTATATTCATTTTACAGTTGAATTACATAGCAGGAACATTTTGTCCCAAAAATGTACTGTTATCTTTTCCTTTAAGGAGAATTCTATAACCTTTGCATGAGAATAATAAATAATAATTCTTATATGCAATGGCTTTTTCGGTAGAATATATATCTTACTTTCAGAGCAAATCCATGATCTGTTGGAGCATGATATTTTTTCTTCCATCCGAGGCCATAGTACACATCCACATAAGCAAACTGTACCATACATGTTAAATCTTTGGGAGCCTAGAAAGAGAAAAATAAAATGAGTTCTTCTGTGGTGGTAAAATGGTTTTGGATAAAACACAGAAAAGTTTTAAAAGGTTCTTTTTCAATTTTATTAGATACAAGCTCTGATCTTAACCAAAGATATTCTAAAGAAATTTGATGCTTACTAAACCAAAAACCTTGGGAACATACTCCACACAAATTATTCCAAACTGTGTGCTACATCAATTTTAAATCACTGCTGTCCATCAAAATATTGCAGGTCAGATGTTTGAACCCATATCAATTTTATAATGTGACAATGTTTGGGTTTCAAATTAATTTTAAGAAAGCAAATGCTCAATTCTTTATTAAATCTGCTTTGTGGTGAGCGTGCTTAACAGTGCTTAGCAAACCCAATACACATATTTTCCGAAATTGTCCCAAAATATATATTCATGTGATCTCTGTTTAGAATTGTTAGGCTTTTTAACTTAGCTTCATCTTTTTTTTTTCAAAGTACAGTTTGTTTCTATTCATGAATTACTAAACTTGCAGCACATTCAAGTCATTATGGTAAGCTTGTACTCCTTACATCAATTGTACATGAAGGAATAAGACTAACTAACGGACAGCAACCTCACCTTACTGACTTTCCCTTTTGGATTATAGTAGAGTCCAGAAGCTCGCAAAACAAAGTAAAATTTTTTCCATGCTTTCTTTCCTTCTGACTTCAGATACATCACACCTTCAACCTCTGGGACTTGTGCACTTCCATTGAAGAATTCCTGTAGGGCAAGAAAAATATATCAGACATGTTTTTCTCTAAATATTCTGACATGTCCGAAACAAACGTATCAATTACAATTTACAGTTTTTTTTCACATAAAATATTTCCTTCTATCAGGTGAAAAAAAACATTTGTCTTTCAATCATTTTATGTCTTTGACATACTAAGAACAAATCACATGGATGTTGAATTGTAAGAGATTTTTTTATTTTTAGTAATCATCAAATAATTTGACAAAAAAAAAAAGGGAAATAATGTCTTCTGATATACAAATAAATTATAGAAAAACCTATACAATTTTCCAAATATTAATGTAACTTTCTTCGTGTTTTATTTACATTTAATAAGTCTAATAGTCCTACCTGTACAAGTTTGTGTCTCTGGTTAGGTGCTAATGAGGCACCTTTCTCTGATGAGGAACTGACCAATAAATATTTCTGCAACAGAAATCAATATTTTTTAATGTTTATAACAAACTGATGTTCTACTACAATTTAGGGATAATGATGAAAGCCATTACAGAGGGCCACACAGCATGTAAATAAGGAAAATGTGATTCATACAAATAACTTGTTGGGTATGATCATCAATATACAGTATTCTTCTTTGTACAACACATTTTTAAGTAGTCGAGAATAATCATGCCTAGTTAAATCCCTGAACTCCACAGGGTTTTAAAGTTTCATCCCTTAATTCCAAGGGGTTTTACAGTAAGAGAGCTAAATAGTTTTGTACATATGCACAGATCATAGAAGTGGCTGGGTTGAACTAACTTTTAACCTTGAATTTCAATGTAGGGTTTTCTTCTGTGTAGCTGTAACAACAATTTCCTTGAAAATTTCATACATCCATAACTGTCAAACACTTTGACAAACCAGAAAAATTATCAAAAGGGATTTTCCTTTAAAAAAATCCCAATAACAGCATGTTTCTCCGTAAATCAATCCACATATACTCTAATAAGTGCCTCATATGTGAAAAATTGCCTTAAATCTGATGATGATGGGGGGTTTTTAACGACCTTGACTACCCATGAGGGTCTTGCACAGTCGGTTTAAATCTGACAGTTAAAGTCATGTAACTCTGGAACGGCAAATTAATAAAAAATTTAAATTGGAAAGGAGCTTTCTTTAACCATCCCAATAACAGTGTACAGTTTAAAGTAAATTGATCTAAGCAAACACAAGTTAGTGTTCGATATGTGAAGTATTGCCCTAAACCTGATAGTTTAAAGTCTCGTAACTCTGGAAAGCCGACCAAAATAAATGTTCAAAATTTAAAGGGAGTTTTTTGACATAGACTGTTTGAAGACTACAGTATACCATAATAAGTCCTTTACGGCATATAAAAATAGGTCATAATCTTCATTAATCAAAAAAAGGAATATTTTGGCTAAGTTTGCTCCTTAAGGTGATTATCTGTCAACCTTTAAATAGGGCTATGCAAAAAATAAATAAATTCAAATCATATTTTAACATTTGAAGATGAATAGTGAACATTTTTTCAAGAGTTACATCAAACTTTGTTCGATCCATGTAAACAAACAACAGAAAATATGTGTGATATTATGATATGATGGCTCTTCTAAATCTGTGCTAAATAAAAGCTTAATTTCTTAACAAATGTATGGAACTTGCCAACATACAAGTAAATATATTTAGATGAATGTTCTTTGAACCTATATATATTTAATGTACCTCGGGTTGCCTAAATAAATCAAATTTCTCTTGTCTCTCTTCAAACAGGATTCTGTTTCTAGAGTCCCTGGTCCACATTACCATATTCTCTACTAGACAGTCATGGTCCTCTAAAATTCTCTCTGTAATGATAAACAGGACATCATATTGCAGTCAAACATAATAAAATGCCTTAATCATTCTATAGAAAAGTAAAGAATATAACAATTCAAAGTGTATAGGGATATATAAGGAGAAAAAGTAAGACAACCTCATTGTAGTAATGTGTATAATGAAGCAGAGAATGGGTTTTAAATGTAAGGGATTTGCATTGGTTTCAACCTATCTTAAAAGTCAAGTGAGGATTGAAAACTTTTACTAAACAGTTCTAATTGCTTCTTTCAAACTTTAGACTTCAAACCAAGTCTGACCTTATATCTGGTACCCATGTTTTAACTGTGATAGAAGATGCATAAAAAAATTAGTTCAAATGATTAAAACAATAATGGAAAATAGGCCTCTGCTATTAATGAAGACTTTAAGTTTAATCCCATATAATAATTCCTACCAATGTTTGTTAGTATTAATTTGGCTAAAATTATAACTTCTGAATTGATTATTCCTACCAATGTTTGTTAGTATTAATTTGGCTAAAATTATAACTTCTGAATTGATTATTCCTACCAATGTTTGTTAGTATTAATTTGGCTAAAATTATAACTTCTGAATTGATTATTCCTACCAATGTTTGTTAGTATTAATTTGGCTAAAATTATAACTTCTGAATTGATTATTCCTACCAATGTTTGTTAGTATTAATTTGGCTAAAATTATAACTTCTGAATTGATTATTCCTACCATGGAAGTAATATTGAATTTAAATATTACTTCCATGTTCCTACCAATGTTTGTTAGTATTAATTTGGCTAAAATTATAACTTCTGAATTGATTATTCCTACCAATGTTTGTTAGTATTAATTTGGCTAAATTATAACTTCTGAATTGATTATCCATTGCTTAATGAACTTCTTAATGAAATCAAAAGAACTTTTTGTAATAAAATATTTACAATGTCATCAATATTCTGTATTGATTATACATTTGTTGAAAAAAATTTAATGCAGAATATATAGCTACATTTGTGTTGAAACATCTCAACGCTCAATACTGTTCAGATTGTCAATAGTATAAACTTGCTGATGCAAAAATTACTATATAAATTTTCAATCAATTCTAACCCCTATATAACAAAAGAAATTTAAATGCCTTAATTGTTTAATATGTTATCAAGGCTATAAAATATCATGTTTCTTTCAATTTTAATGAGTTATCCATTTTAAATAATAATGATCCCAAGGATCAAATGATACAGCAATGATCATTTCAATAAAATACAACACTTCCCATCAATACTTTAATATTTACTAACTTATTATCACAAAGAACAACAATACACCCCATTGAGCATTTTATCACATTAATAAGAGAAGATGAGAACTAGTATTGAATTAAATGATAATTAATAATTCTCTCCATTTTATTATCTTTACTCAAATAATCAATACTATGACTGAATTTTAAAATTGTAAGCGATACAATGGTCTCAATATACTCATGTGTATTCTCATACAAACATTAAAGGATAGAATTCTTTGTACTACTTGTGACTCATATAATATCTCCTTCTGACGAATGTATTACAGACAGTAGCATAAATGTACATTTCAACTGTCTGTTTTGGCATATATTCAACTGGATAAATTGCAAATGACTTAAATTAATTGATTGTAAGAAAGTAAAATACATGTACTGGTAATAAAGGGAGGACTTTTACATGTAATTGCAAGTATATCTTTGTACAATGCAACTTTTAATTCTGAACAGTGAACTTATTAGATGTCAGGAGAAGTTTCCTCCAAACAAGGAAACAAATTATAAAACAATATCATCAATGTCACTGCAAAAATCAATGTTTATTTTATGACAAAAACGTGATAACTTCAACAAAGTGTTAGAAACTAATTTACAATACAGATTTAGAAATCTTGCTTCATGACTGACTGCGTTTGATAATAAATGTCTTTAAATTTTTGCTGGAATATCATGATACCAACTTGAACTAATGTGAGAAGCTATAAAACCTGGTGTCAAATTTAGCATGGCCTTAAAATTTGTCTGGAAATATAAATCATTAATCATGTTAATATTCATCTACAGTTTTTTTTTGTGTGACCTATCTAGAATTCCTTTCATAATGAATATACATCTCATGCCCCAAGAAGTTCATTTATTTCTACATGAGTAAGCCTTTTAAAATGTTTGGTTTTCTTTTTGCCTTCCCGATAAAAGTTGTTACATGTACCAGGTAGTATTTATAGTAAATTTAAAACATTTGAGACACTGAGTGTTAACAGCAAAAACTAATTTTTTAGTCTATGCAATTGGAAGTTAGGAGAAGCAATTGTGCATGATCAGGATCAGCCAAAATAAAAACCAATCTTTCTTCTATGCCAACATTGTTAAAATTGCCAAAAAATAAATTAAAGGAGACATGGGGCCTTTGTAAATAAGTTAGCAACCCAACAAAAAAAAACATTCTCTGTGAAAGGGAACAAAGTTAAGAAACCAAAGCAAAATGTCTACAGAAAAAAATGAATGACAGACCCATATTATTGATATAACTTTATGAATACAATTTTACTTATTTTTCTTTGTTCATGCTTAGGTTTTGCATAAAGAACTAGTGTACAGTTAAAATAAAATACTAATATCACACACAAAACTTAAAGCCAAGACCAGGTTTCATAGTATGCCACTATAAAAACTATAACTTTCTCAGTTAGTGTCTTATAACTTTGAAATCTGTTTATTTGAACATAATATGAGAAAATGGTAGGCTGCATATGGCCCGTAAAATGTTTCCATATAACAAATCTAGAAGATACTATAAACTAACTAATTTTCATGAGTGTTGTTATTTCCTGAGTAGAAAAAATATGAATATTAATTGTCACAAATATGTTCATCTTGGATCTTCCCTCATAAATTACATCAAGAAAATTTAAAAAAATTCTAAAAATAAATCTGTGAAGTGGGCTACAAAGGGCTAAATGTGAAACAAAGTAGCCACAAAAAATAAGTTAGAGTATATAGTTTCACAGAAAGGGAAGTTCTGATAAATAGACAACACACAGTATCTACTCATTTTACAAGATGAGGAAACATCTTTGATATTGCATAAAAAGCAGCTAAATTATGCAATAATCCAGATATAAAACAATTAATTGTATACATGAAACATCTGCTTTGTTGATTTGATAGTAGTGGGTGGAGGATATCTAACGGAAATGAGGTATGATATACTTAGATAGTATAGAGATATTAAGATCAAATATTTTCAATAAAAGCAATTGTTCCAATTAATTAACATGGTAAATAAATTAAAATGTTGTCTCCCAAATGCAGCATTTAAGGCAAAGATCTACTGTCTTATTACTTAGCCAACATGCATACCTGACTTGACTGTAGAACTAATAATTAACCATTTTATTGATGTCTCTGTCATAAAATGTTTAAAAGAGAAACAAGTACACTTACTTTCAATGCGTTATGATTCATTATTATAGAAAAAAATCTCTACTGTTTTTATTTTATGGTCATCACAAATAACTAATTAAGGTGGATCATCACTTAAAATATTTCATCAGATGGATTTTCTTATACTTTGCCAAAATGTAGATTTTACCATGCTTAATTAAGAGTATGGGTCACCCTGCTAATTTTTAAGCCACAAGTTGCGCAAAATTGCTCCCCAAAAATCTTTTTTGCGATTAGAAAGAAATCTATGACCAGGCATGTGTTCTATCACTAGTCTTAACCGATAGAAAGATCATGCATATGTTGTGTATCACATGTTCTTATAAAAATAAAAAGATGTGGATTGATTACAAATGAGACAACTCTCCAACACAGACCATATGACATAGAAGTAAACAACTATAGGTCATCAATACAGTTATAAAGATCAGGCATAAGTAGTATCACTAGTTCTTACCCATATAAAGATCAGGCATAAGTAGTATCACTAGTTCTTACCCATATAAAGATCAGGCATAAGTAGTATCACTAGCTCTTACCCATATAAAGATCAGGCATAAGTAGTATCACTAGTTCTTACCCATATAAAGATCAGGCATAAGTAGCATCACTAGTTCTTACCCATATAAAGATCAGGCATAAGTAGTATCACTAGTTCTTACCCATATAAAGATCAGGCATAAGTAGTATCACTAGTTCTTACCCATATAAAGATCAGGCATAAGAAGTAACACTAGTTCTTACCCATATAAAGATCAGGCATAAGTAGTATCACTAGTTCTTACCCATATAAAGATCAGGCATAAGTAGTATCACTAGTTCTTACCCATATAAAGATCAGGCATAAGTAGTATCACTAGTTCTTACCCATATAAAGATCAGGCATAAGTAGTATCACTAGTTCTTACCCATATAAAGATCAGGCATATGTTCTATGACAGCTAGTTTAGCATTGAGTCGTACATGGTTCTTGTCAGCCAGGATACTGCATACTTGACCAATTGACATTTTCTCATCAACTAAAATACTTTTACTGCTTCCATCTTTAGCAAAAGCTCTAACAAACAACTGAAATAAAACACATAAAATAATACAACATATGATGCAATATCAATTGTAACTCCTTCTGAATTGTCAACAAATCCCATACCTATATGTCTTGTACATTTCTAGAGAGACTTTGATGTCATACTGTAATTTGATAGCTACAGATATATGGTTCACCTGTGTATCACCTATATCTTTGCATTTGTGACAAATCCTACTAAATTTGAAATACAATACATTTATTACATAACAGAGCATACAGTAACAGTTAACACAGTCTTATTGTTTTCTTAAATATTAGCTTGCTTGGTGTTTCTTGTGGTCTTGTCTCAGCATTATCTCATATGCTTAATGTGTATTTTTTTCAATCCAATAAATATATTGTCTACAACTTCAGAACCAGGATAACACATTAAATCAATTAAAAATAATATTTCAAGACTGCTGGCACCCTTTAACACTTCAGTTATTTTTCATTTTTAACAAACAAATTTCATAATTTAGAAACTGTCAGAAATCCATCTTCTCAAACTTTTGAAAGCTATGAAATGTATTTAATTGGAAATAAAGACTTTTCAATATTAATCATCAATATATATCAATATTATTATGTTTTATTATTTTGAGAAAAACCAAAAAAAATTAAATGTACTAGGGCTGTAAAGATAGCAGAGACTGTGTTCTAAACCAAAACAAAACCAATTAGGTACTAAAACACAGGGATCTATTAGTCATAACAGAAAGATCCTATAACACACAACTGGTTCAACTGTAAAATCATCAGCATTATGTCCAAAAGTGCAAAGAAAAAAGAGGAAAGGATTGTGGTTATAAGCTTGTCATTTCTGTATGTTTCAACTCTTTAGATTTCACTGTAGAATTGATATACATTGAAGTTTCATTCATAAATGTCTTATGTGCAAATGAATGTTGGCAACATTTCAAACCTAAAATATTTTATACACCCAGGTTATAAAATTATGAGCATATCTGAAATTTTCAAATGTATCTATTTCATCTATAAGATGCATTTTGGGTGTTACTAAATCTTTGGTGTTTTTTTAATTATTGAAAAGGTTGATTTCAAACTAATAACATCATTTGTATGAAATTGAAAAGGATATCAATGAGAACCAAACAATAAAACTAAAAAGACATACAAAAGTCAACATACTGTCTCCCCCTAAAAGAAGTGCTTTAGATTACAATGATTCATATAAGCTGTAGGTTCATTCATAGACTATCATAGACCTGTAACCAACACCCTTTTCCTTGAAGGACAATAACATGTTTAACTTCATGTAAAAGCCCTTGACCCCTTTATATTTGAATGTTAGTATTATTGAATTTCTTTGCATCTATTTCTTAATATGTGGCCCTTTTTAAATTTTTTTTTTGATAAAACTCGTATCAATTTACAATCTGCAATAAAATTTTCTAAGTATTCATTTTCAAATAAATGGTGAATGTATTCATGGGACACAGATGATACCCCCGCTTGCATATCATATAAAGTTAGAAAGGGACATAACAGTGACACCAACCCAAATTTGTACCTGATCTGTGTTTTGTGGTAATAAGTATTGTGTTTAAGTTTCATAACATTTGGTTGAGGCAAACTTAAGTTAGAGAAAGGAAACGAAAAATTCAGCAATTTTTCCATTTGTAAAGGGCATAACTCTAGAATGGTTAAAATGACTCCACCAATATTCAAACTTGTTCTGTGTTTTGTGGTAATAACCATTGTGTATAAGTTTCATAACATTTGGTTGAGGCAAACTAAAGTTAGAGAACGGAAACCAACTTTGGGACATACGTACGGACAAGGGTAAAACTTAATGCCCTCTCCGCTATGCGGGGGCATAAAAATTCATTATTTAAGTAAAGCCACTGTAGATATCATAATAGACGTATTCAACCTTTTAGGTATTTAGCTCAATTGTCTCCTAATGACCCTAGATCTGTCTCCAATAAACATCTGACGTCATGCAACAATCACTTTTTAATTATGAGTCAAATGTTTCAAATTGTGATGCAATATTTTGTGGGAACTTGTGTGGTTTCAAGTAATGACAGACAAATTTGCATACAAGTGTAAATACGTCTTTATGTATATGGTAAACTCCATCAGTTCTGTTCTATATAATCGTAATGTTTTACCAGTATATATGCATTATGATTATCCTCCTGAAGATTTGGTCTAAGACATAGCATAGGATGTTTAATATTGAAACCGTTCTTTAATAACAGAATAACAGACAATATGTTGGGTTTTTACCTGAACACAACACTAAGACAACAATGACCATTGGTTTTGTTCGAATTCCAATATAGTTACCTCGACTTTCGTACATTATTTATGCAATTGTATTGAAATATGTTTAATTATCTCTATACCTTTCCCTTTGATGTTTTGCTTCGATTAGTTCAATTCTAAACTGTGTGATTGTTTGATTATTTAAAACATGACGATGTGGTACCGTATGATTGCCAATGAGACAACTATCCTTCACAACTACATAGTATTTATTCATTTTTTTATAATATTTTTTTACCAATAAAACATGTTTTAACTCATGCTTAAAAATAACTGTAAATTTGAAAAGATCTACAGTCCCTATATATTGAGAAAGTCAAGATTGACAGACGTAATTTCCTAAGTCTGTGATATACAGCAGTATACTTCACTGATCAATGTCACTTTGTTGAAATATGGAAACCCCAAATAACTCTAAATTGGACTTTTTCATTGTTAATTTCACACCTTTGTGGTGTGATCGATGATGAGACCTCTTTAATGTGGGAATGAAAAATTAGGTTACTATTCATCATGTTCGCTTAAATCTTTCAAAACATAGAATTTTCTGATTCTCCTAGGATGAATGTTTTGTACTACCTTTCTAATTTTGGCTTCCTTGATCTTTTCTAAAGCTATTCTTATTTTCTCTGCTTTTAATCTTGCTTTCTGTTCATCCTGCAAAATAAAAATGATGAACAGTGAAAACACTAGTAAATGTTATTATGTTTCATAATCTGAGCCTTTCTGTATTTGTCTTACTTCGACTTTGTCAGAATCTTTTACAAAACTTATGTAGAAGCTGGTGTGAAGTTATTACTGATAACCATACCTTATTGTCTGGTCTCAAAAAACAAAAGTAATTTAAATAAAATGCAAAACCTGATCATTTAAGATTTTCTTAAAATATATACTAAAAAAAAACAACACTAAACAAATGTTTTCAGCTTGTTTCCCTCATTAAGTTTGTAAATAAAGCTAATATGTTGATAGAATTTTAAATCATATTCATGTCCATTAATTAAAAGATAAAAAACATAAGTGAACCTGTCTAAACAGAACACTCTTAGAATCAGCTGTACTGACAAACATTTGATATCTACATGTATTTGGTTATCCGAAATCAGTTGAACTGACAAACATTTAATATCTATATGTATTTGGTTGTCCGTATTAGTTGAACTGACAAACATATAATATCTACATGTATTTGGTTATCCAAATCAGTTGAACTGACGAACATTTAATATCTATATGTATTTGGTTGTCCGTATTAGTTGAACTGACAAACATATAATATCTACATGTATTTGGTTATCCAAATCAGTTGAACTGACAAACATTTAATATCTACATGTATTTAGTTATTCAAATCAGTTGAACTGACAAACATTTAATATCTACATGTATTGGATTATCCCATCATACAGTTCAACTTGTTTCAATCATATTCTGGCACCTAATCATATCTGAGCTCATTTATGATACTGGAATGCAAGGACTTCCACATGAACACTATTTTATATTCTTTTAAACTAGAGCCTGCATTGCTCACCTGGATTTATGTCCAGAGCAAACCTAAGTTCAGAAATAATATTAGCAAGCTCCACGCTGGATTTTCATCCATTTTTAAGGATAAGGTCTGGCTTTGGCAGAAATGCTGTTTTCACTGATGTATTTAAACCAAAGCTAAGAAGAAATCCGTCCATCACATCTGTTTCCAGAATTTTTTGATTTTAACTAATAATGACAGCAATGATTTGAAACAAATGAGGTCACCAACCATTATATTCACAAATAAAATTACTGGAAGTATGATAGCAAATGGTGAATAACTAGATTTTGCTATTAATTTTTGTTTTTTTTACCCCTTTAAGTTATTTTTCAGACATTTGTTTGATAAAATAGTCATTGAGCACAACTTTTGTTAAAGTCCACTCCATAAAGGATGATTTATGGTAAGTACTTGGGTTCCATTTGGCCCAGTGGTCTCAGAGGAATATTTTTTTTTTTTACATCAGATGCAGGATGATAGACGACAGGCACCAAGCTATGACAAAAGCCCACACTAGCCCTCTTTGCAGTCATCTAAAAAGTCATTCTAAAAATTGCATCCATATTTTAGTAGTTTCCAATGAAAATATAACCAAAATATATCATGATGACGTAAAAACATTAACAGACACATAAACCTAATGGTGTAAAAAGTAGAAATTGGTGTAAAAGAAATGTGATTATGCAAGCATTTGAAAATCATGTTTGTAGCATTGTGCAGTAAAAACATTGGCTTAAAGTAGTCTGCTAACAAAAATAACTTGTTTTTCTTAACATGACATAAAACATGGAACTACACAAATGTCTGCATCAACTTAAATTGAAAGAACTATGCTTTTTTAAATTATCATCTAGTCATGGCTTTTGGCAGATGTGTTTTATATTTAAAGTAAATGCATCAACATGGTAAATGATAAATTTTGTTTCCTTGACCTTCAATATACATCCTAACATCCTATATAATTTTCCATCTTTTACAGTAATATTTACAAAAAAATGATTTAAAGCCTGAAATCTATTCTGAGATATGCAGAAATTCACATTTACATCCTTAGGTCTTTGGGGAAAAACTAATTGTCTCATTGGCAATTACACCATATCTATATAGCTATAGTTTAAATTTCTCCAGTATTATGTAACAGTTACTGATTATCTTTGCAGAAACATCTTAATGTATGTTTTTGTTTGTTTTTTTAAGCTGGTTTATCAATCCAATCATTTAAGGTCTACAGCTGCTTCCAAAGCAACCATCAATATCCATGCATCATGCAACATGTTTTTACGTGTGAAACTGAATGTAAAGTACTCTCTGCATCTGATTATTGTTGAACAAAGAAATAGTTTACAGTGAGATAAGTGTATACATCATGCAATGCTAATGGTGCAAACTTATGCTATAAAAATACTAACACATAGTTGAATGGCTAAGAGAATTATGGGAAATAAACATGTAACACATTAAAGAAAGATAAATAATGCAAGAGTATCTAGTTGTTAGAAGTTAAAACTACATCACTAACAGAAGTGCCACTAAGATACAGTAGAAGTCATCAGAAGATACAGAAGAGGTCATCAGAAGATATAGTAGGGGTCATCAGAAGATACAGTAGTGGTCATCAGAAGATATAGTAGAGGTCATCAGAAGATATAGTAGAGGTCATCAGAAGACACAGTAGTGGTCATCAGAAGATATAGAAGAGATCATCAAAAGATATGGTGGAGTTCATCAGAAGATACGGTGGAGGTCATCAGAAGATACAGTAGTGGTCATCAGAAGATATAGTAGAGTTCAACAGAAGATACAGTGGTGGTCATCAGAAGATATAGTAGAGGTCATCAGAAGATATAGTAGAACCATCAGAATATATAGTGGAGGTCATCAGAAGATACAGTAGAGGTCATCAGAAGATATAGCAGAGTTCATCATAAGATAAAGTAGTCATCAGAAGATATAATAGTAAGAGGTCAATGTCAAAAGCAGCAGCAGACAAGATAGTCAACAGTTTTGCAGCATAGCGATTTAGGAAAGAATTAATGACTTAAAGAAGAAAGAAAAAGAAAGATAGAAAGACATCTATAGAAAAGCATTAGTACAAAGTAAGGAATGGATAAACAGTGAATGTTAGTAGGAAGCAAGGAAGAGGTAGAGTTAGCACAACACAGGTGAACAGTGACACAGGCATCTAGACTTACAGGAGGACAATTCTCTTTATGGAGTTCTTCTTCAAACAAACTCAACTGAGACATTAAAAGTTCATGCATCTAAAAATATCCAAAAATGTCAAACATTAAAACAATAACTGTAACATATTAAAACCTGTCTTAAGAGGAAATTCTTCATGTTTATCTATTGTATTAATGTTAAAACTATTCATTACTAAACCTTATTTTAATTTTTTCTTCTGGATGTCAGGACTTTTGGTCTGACACTCAGTCCTCTTAAAACAAGTTATCAAACTCTGATATGTAAATAGGTGACACATCTTAATAAAGTCATGTGCATTTTAATAACTTGCGAAATTGTAAAGGCAAATTATTAAACATGAAATGATCCTCTTGACTGGTTGCATGGTCTTAAAACACATTATTCCAGGAAAGATGTCCATGTCATATTTTCTGTATGCCTTAAAAACTAAATTCATAAGCCAGATCAACATTGTACTGTGCCATACAAATTCCAATAGTTATTACATGTATGTAAAAAATACAAATGACATTCAGTAATGGGTGTATGTACATAATTTTGGAATTTATAGACAACTCTCTGTCATGACTGAGTATACTTTGATGTTCAATTTATGCCTGTAGCTGTCAAATTAGAGAAGCCTATTTATTGCCTTCAAATTTCTGGCAAAAATACAAAAAAATACAATTTTTTATGCTACATATATATAATTTTTTGAATATATTAAGGTATTTATGTTCAATGTTTTACTCTTAAAATTCATGACAAGATGAGTTTTGTTTTCATCTGGACTTTTTTTCGCTTTTACAGACTTTATTTTGGCTTTTACAGACTTTATTTTGGCTTTTACAGACTTTATTTTGGCTTTTACAGACTTTATTTTGGCTTTTACAGACTTTATTTTGGCTTTTACAGACTGTATTTTTGGCTTTTACAGACTTTTTTTTTTGCTTTTACATTACAGACTTTATTGTGGCTTTTACGGACTTTATTATGGCTTTTACAGACTTTATTTTGGCTTTTACAGACTTTATTTTGGCTTTTACAGACTGTATTTTTGGCTTTTACCGACTTTTTTTTGGCTTTTACATTACAGACTTTATTTTGGCTTTTACAGACTTTATTTTGGCTTTTACAGACTTTATTGTGGCTTTTACGGACTTTATTTTTGGCTTTTACAGACTTTATTTTGGCTTTTACAGACTTTATTTTTGGCTTTTACAGACTTTATTTTTGGGCTCCTAAGAACATGGGGAAGGTACTTATATCTAACTTGCTTATTTATCAATATATGAATATGTATTGCATACAAAAATGTGGCATATAAATGCAGGTTATTTGAATTATAATGATGCATATATCTAAAAAAAAATGTATTTACAAAAAACCTATTGTTAATTATCACAAAACACATTTCTTTACAAATTACTAAAAAACTCCCATCAATTTCAACACATCAATAATGTATAAAAGGATGTATTTCTAAAATGTAACCAAGCTGAAGCAGACAAATTTCCATTACCAATAGTTGCAGATTATATAATCGGATTCCCCATGTCATTAGGATACAGCAATCCTGTCATGGAACTTTTAAGCTGACAAATTACTTCCACGTTCTGTAGATTTATGGTAACAAAGTAATCCCATCTAAAAATGTATTTGTCTGAGTACTCTTACCAATATCATTGAAATTCAGTCAACAATTATTCACAATTTGGAAAAAACTTAAGCAATGCCCAAATAAAGTTCAGAATAAATCCAATTAGAATAGTCTGAGAATTAAAAATAATCCTGAATTCTTACCTAAACTGATAATCAGCCATTTTCTCAATATCTGTTTCCCAGTATTCTTGGAATAATTGGGTACACATAGACTAAACTTCTGGCACAAAATTTAAAGGTAATAAAAACAAACTGGAATTGTGAACAAAGAATGTTTAACACAAAACTTGACACCCATCCTGCCTGTAATAAGACAGACAGGAAATCAGGTCTACACACATATGAGAAGTTAAAGCATGATTTTCTAAATTTACTTAGGCACTGTACAGAAGTCATAATGCTGATAAAAAATAAATCCTATAACAAATGTTTAATAGGTGGAATTTTTTGGGTCCCTTACCTAATTCTAAACCCGGTCTAATGTTTCTTTTCATATCCTAATTTGAATCTGTTTATCTATTGTTTTTTAGGGATAACAAATAACTGTGTGTTTAGGATATAACATGAGGATGAATAATAATTATTTGTTGATAGCCAATTTTATTTATAAGAAATATCAGGTATTAAATGTCACTGTATTGTATAATTACAAAGCTTTGTACAAAACTGTCGAGATCAAATCTCAAACAACCTTTACCTCACTTTCTATATTCCAAGCCATTTTCATTACAACAGCTATAAGGGTTTTTTTAAATTGTGTAAATTGGAATTGATTGTTGCATGTTAATGTCCAGTGACAAATATTTCATGCACCTTCAGGACATTGTAAAATATGAAGAGAGCAAAACATTTGCAAAGAAGATATATCTCTTTATCTACTTTTATTAAAAGAAAACTAAATAAATGGGGAATGTGTCCATGGGACACAGATGATGCCTCCGCTTGCCTATCATATAAAGTTATAAAGGGACTTAACTGAAGAACGGTTAAAGTGACGTTACCCAAATTTGTACTTGATATGAGTTTTGTGGTAATAAGTATTGTGTATAAGTTTCATAACATTTGGTTGCGGCAAACTTAAGTTAGAGAATGGAAACGAAAAATTCAGCAATTTTTCCATTTGTAAAGGGGCATAACTCGAGAACAGTAAAAGTGACATTACCAAAATTCAAACTTGATCTGTGTTTTGTGGAAATAAGCATTGTGTATAAGTTTCATAACAATTGGTTAAGGCAAACTTAAGTTAGAGAACGGAAACGAAAAATTCAGCAATTTTTCCATTTGTAAAGGGGCATAACTCTAGAACGGTTACAGTGACACCACCAAAATTCAAACTTGATCTGTATTTTGTGGTAGTAAGCATTGTGAATAAGTTTGATAACAATTGGTTAAGGCAAACTTTAAGTTAGAGAAAGGAAACCAACTTTGTGATGTACGTACGGACGCACAAGGGTAAAACTTAATGCACCCTGCGCTACGGCGGAGGCATAAAAATATTAAAACATTATCCATAGTTAAGAAATGTTTACAATGAACCTAAGACTTCTTATCCATGCACAAAATTTATCAAAAAGCTGTCAGGTATACATTCAAGAAAAGAGATTCTTTATTAATGGGAAAAAATTAAATGCATAAAAAATATTCACTTAATAATGCAAATTTTTGAATGCATTACTGTCAAACATTATGCGTCAACATTTACTAACACAATTGATTTAAGACATCCCATTAGAAGCATGTGGCTGACTTTGATGGAGCCTATTCTATGATAAATTATTCATGTGAGATACAAATAATTTCACCAGTTAATCATTATGTAACTGATTATTATCACTTGATTACTGATGCATGACAGAGTCATTTTACAATAAATGGGATATAAAAATACTTTAAGCATGTGACGAAATTTTTTCCTGCAACAAAATTCTGACAGAAGACTTTCTATAGGCTCTAATACAGCATAAACTAATACATAAAGATACTTATTGAATTTAGCCAGAAAAGCTTTCTTGGAGTCACAAGTTATCATGTACTTGTATACATATGATCAATTACAGTCAGTTTTTGACAGTACATGTATTGATATTTTGGAGTTTACCAACACTTTCTATGTGTCACCCATTATTAAATACATGATGAAAAAACATTTACAGTACAGGAATACATCATTTTGTACAGACCTAGAGGCAATTTCCCAAACAAACTGACCCCTAAGGTCCTATAACCCCATCACACCAAACTATTTGGTCACTTAGACCACTTAGTAGATGAAAGTCAATAATAAGGCTACCATTTATCTAATGTAAAATTTTGTTTAGTCTTCACAACATTCCCAATTTTCAATAGGTCTGCCTTCAGTGTAATGTTTACAGGTCAAATCTATTATTCATCCCTTAAGTTCTGATATGATCCAGCAGTAACTTTTTAATTGTATAATGAAAGTCATGGAAACTGAATTTGATACCATGTCAACATGCAATACAGACATGATTTTATTATTTAGATCAATTTACTACACACGATTCCATGTTTGTCTTTATATCAGCCAAACTAATATCTAACTTCTATTATCATGATTATATCTTCTAAACAGAGTTCTAGTTTAACCCTGCCACATTCGGTATGTGCCTGTCCCAAGTCAGGAGCCCGTAATTCAGTGGTTGTTGTTGGTTACTGTATATCCTATTTGTTTTTAGTTCATTGTTTTTGACATAAATCAGGCCATTACTTTTTTCGTTTGAATTGTTTTACATAAAAATTTGTCATTTCGGGGACTTTTATAGCTGACTATGTGGTATGGGTTTTGTTCATTGTCGAAGGCCATACAGTGACCTATAGTTGTTAACTTCTATGTCATTTGGTCCCTGGTGGGGAGTCATCTCATTGGCAATCATACCACATCTTCTTATTTCTATATTTTGTAGAATTTCAAACTGTTGAAATGATAATGAATAAAAAAATATATATATGATTTTTTTTTTAGATCTATACAAAATTTTTAATTGACATTTAAGTTAGAAGAAAGGATATGTACAAATCAAAATAGAAATGACACTTAACATTTAACGACAAAATAAATGTTAAACATGTACAATTATGACTTGTAGAGATAGTTTTTAATGGCTTCAAGTTAAAATGTTTTGAAAAAATGTGAGATCAATAAACATGATAAACTACATTTGTCTTTTTTTTCGTTCAATGTTTTGTTCCATTGATTTTCACACATATTTGTCAACTGCTCAATGAAATATATCACATTCCTTCAAAAAACATCCAATCAACCTCCCACTCCAATCAGTATTTACCTGATTGTAAGAGGGATGAATTTTCAATGGTGTCACTTTTTATGTTTTTATTTTTCACAAGTCTCTATTATCATTCTCAAGTGCAATGTTTATCATCACTCCATGCTCATAGAAATTTAATTAAAATCTGACCATAAATGGATCCAATATTACTTAGGACTGCATTAACATTTGTCCAGGACAGGTGTGAAAAATTTCATGTCCAAATTTTCCATTATGAACAAATCTTAATTAACATCAAATTTAATTAAATAATTAGGTGTGGTTTATTAACCCTATCATCATACAAATTACAAATCAGGAAAAAACATTCACTGCTTCTAAGAGGTTAAAAAGGTTCCTAATGCAACATAAATCTGGAAATTTCAAATTTATAAGAGACATGGTAGACATCAAATGCTACCACTAACAAGAATGAGAATTTATTTCAGAGGAAAACTGTTTAACCAAAATGCCTCACATTCAGAATTATGCAAAAGTTTAATGCTACCAGGCAACAATTGTGGGTAAAGTGCAATGAACAATAGCCTAATTAGATTGTTTTTTTTAATTCATTGCTTATTTTGTGTTTTAAGAATCTATCACAATACAAAAAGTTGTGGATTTCTTTAATTACTTGAACTTGACCATACCTGGTAAGTTTCTTTAAACAATCGCATTCAAATGCCTTATAAAGTTTTATTTGTAACCTATAACTGTCAAAAACTACTGCCTTATAAAGTTTTATTTGTAACCTATAACTGTGAAAACTACCCACCTCTGAGACTTGAGCTGAGAATGGTGTCACTGTACTGGTACTAACTGTACTTCCTGAATCACCAGAACCAGAACTGGAAGCTTCAGCAGAAGACGATACTGTAACCATGGAAGTGAAGGATTCAGAAGATGGAAGAGAGGCATTTTCTGAAAAAGCAGAATCTGTTTCACAAATATCGTGAGCATCAGAACATGATCCTCGTCGAGTAAGAAATTGGTCCGGTAATAATTCCAAATCACCATATGGTAAACTGTGTCTAAATGATAAACTTTGTGTAATTTCTGAGGCTAAAGCATCTAATTCTGATTGAGCTAAATCATTGCCACTATCCCGGTGTTCATCTTTGACGAGGCCCATGTTGTTCCTATCTAATTCATACTCTGTTGTGTTAAGTTGCATTTCCAGATCACATAATTCTCCAAGTATTGCATCGAAATTGACATCTTGATTTTCTGAAAAAAAGTAAACAACATATCTTATGTTAAAGCAGCTCGTAGAAAAGGACATTCAGCCATATTATCTAATTATGTAATTAAGGTAATACTCCCGTTTTACATAATCAAAATTGATCTTACATGAGAATTACTCCAAGAATTATTTTTTTTATTGTTTCTGCTGTAGCAATGAGAAACAAAAATACTGTGTAAGTTTTGGCTCAAGAAGTTTTTAAAATCAGACTGCGAATTAAGTAATTCTGTAAGATTATGCAAAGGAAAAAATTTAAGACCCTATAACCATGATAACAGCTTTTATCAATGCCACAAAAATTAATAAATAAGGGAACAGAAAGTCCATCATAAGATCCAACAACTGATAATATTGGAAGAGAAATATGCCGATTTTCACAACACATACAATTTTCTTGTCACTGTTCTATACAACAGATTTCCACTAGAAGTTAAACCTTCTATTCTGATCAAAGGCTTTGCCTCAAATGAGAACCTTATGGAAAATTAGTAAACTTAATTAGCCTATTGGCAAACTGAGAAACATTGGTTTTAATGAGGAGGAAAAGTAAAATGATTCTCTGCCAAAAACTGGCGTCTAATATGTCTGTTTGATAGATCAAATGATTCTGTCAGGGATATGTTAACCAGGTGTAAGATACATCAAATTTCTGATCATCTTAGCTTTTAAAAATTTGATGGTCAACTGAAATTTTGTTTCCTCCCCTTTTCCAATTTTTTCTTGGCAATTTCATCAGCTCAAATGAATAGCATCTTAAAACTTTCCTGTTTGAAAGAAATCTGCAAGTCAATTAAGTTCTGTGTTGTTGAGAGGAAAATGGATCAGACCTTTGACTTTAGAAGTTGCTACAGTTACATTTTCAGAGCCCAATTTTATATTATTCAATAAACTGATGTTTGTTTCTTATTTTTTTTTTTTCAAACCAGAAGCAAACCAACAGCTGTACCCATAGCTACCTTCCTGTAGTTAGGAGTACGTTTTGACCCTACTTTCCATTTTCATTTTCTTGTTAAAGTTAGTGATCCTCCTGTTTACAACATTAACATTAAAGGGTACAGATTTTACTGCAATAGTTACACATTTCAAAAATTTGTGTGTCTTCAGTGACTGATGCTCGAAACCAAAATATTTGAAAATCCAAAACCTTGTACAAATGTTGAAGAGCAGATATAACCAATAAGGACCAAAAGATCCACTGTGCAAGTTTTTAATTGTGTGTTTTTACAACATATGGTCTTGTTAAGTAAAGGGAGAGGTTTGTGCTCACAAAAACAATTTAACCCCACCACCTTTTGTGCCATAACCAAAGTCAGACTAACTTGATCATGTGTTGTTTGTTGTTGTATGTATTTGCTTGTTTGGAGGGGTCAGGTGTTAGTATTTGATATGGTTTGTTGTACTGTGCTGGGTTTTTTTTCACGTTTTCTGATATCCTGTTTGATGTATTATTGATATCTACTTGAATTCCATTACAGGGATTGCTATAATTAGACTTGGACACTAACCAAGAAAGATCTCTCATCTTCTGACAAAAGACTTTTGTCTGAGCTAATAGGTTAGTATCAACCAGGTGTTCATCTACCTTCTAAGATGGCAGGTAAATAAATACTTAGATAAGATCAAAGTAATATTTTCCAAACTTTCATTTTGTCTTGTAATATTCCATGCTTTTTCTGTTATACCTTGCATCTTAGACAGTAATATTGCACTTCCTCTATTCCTGTACAGATTTATTTCTATCAATCATATTAAAATACAGATCCTGTGTCCAAGCTTTGCTAACAAGGATCTGAAAATGCTCTGTTCTACTTACTGTTTCAAAGACCTTTCGAGATCCTCTAGTTTTGTCAGATTGATACACACCTTCAAAAATTTGAGGGCTGAAATGTCATTGGCTGATTTAATCATTCCTAGAACAGAAAGTACAACTGAGTGTTGTCAGATCCTTGTAAACAAAGCTTGGACACACGATCTGTATTTTAATCAGATTGTATTTCTATTTGGGGAGATAATTTTTTACTCATAGCTTTGGATTTTAAAACATACACTTTTCTGATTTGTGTTTTCTAAATTAGAATTGGGAGTAAACAGTAGCCAATGAAAAAAAGTGTTACATAAAAATTGTATTAGAATTTAAATTCAATTAAATCAACTTAAAAGTATGACAAGTGATAGGAAGAAAAAGTGGATACACAGGTACATGTATTATTTTCAAATGATATAATGTGCAATTGCACTATGCAATAATTGTGAAATCTTTAGCAGGTCTTTTTGAGTTTCATGGATAATCTTAGTTTGAGAACAATGATTTATGCTTCAATGATTTTAAACATAAACATTGTACATCTGCACTGTAATCAAGATGAGTCATTCAATCTAATGTCTTGAGCAAAAAGTGTTATGAAATTGATCAAGTTTGCAGAGAAACCACAAATGTAGTAGAAAATTAATGGTGCATCCCAGAAAACTGTTGCTATGACAAATTTCCACAAATGCTTGTATTTTTGATTGATTTTTAGGTAAAGTGACTGAGATCAATGCAAGTCTGGCGTCATTGAGGCCATCTAGTCACAGAGATGTTTATATTGATGATTTAATCATTGAGTGACATTTTCTTGAATTTTTGCGGATGAAAAGGAAGTGAAATAGTATTGTGGTCAGCTATGTTTAGTACTGATTATATGTTTCCCCTATATTTTACACTTATTCTATATATACAATTTCTGTAAATATAGACATATTATAATCCATTTCCAAAATATGGATGCATGTAGCTATGGGTATCAGTATACTTGAAAGACAGAACAACTATCAGTTGCAATTCTTTAACTCAATTAAAACTACTGTTTTCTAAAGTATATATATCTTTACAAATATTATGCCAAATATGAATATTTACATGGTTCACATGAGTTTCCACTCTTTTTTTTTCTTCAATTATATGTCTACACATAACAGTAATATATAGATCTCTTGAAAAAAGTTAGGAATCTTGGAACATCTATGTTTCACTTTTTTGCCAGTTGAAATTAACATTCCATTGTATGATATATGAACAAAGAGTTGAAGCATACTAAAATAATTATCCCCAATTCTTGTCATTATTGTATGTCTAGGTCATGAGTTATACACTGGTTAAATTAAGTGTGTCAAGTAGATCAATTTCCATTTCCTAAATATGTTTATTTCAATAACCATTTTCTACAGTCTGCACTAACTAAATATAGCTCAAAGTTATTTGCTTTATTTTTGCATTGAATTATGTATTATTTTAAAATATTGTGCAGATCTGTGTTTTAGTTTTAGTGACACTAGAAGCATTCTTGACCTTGCAGTAAGGTGAGAGTTTTGAAGGTCATTGTTGAAGACCTTGAAGACAAGTGTCAATAGGAAGAAACACAATAAAGGAGCTGTTCTTTTTATATATAAGTTATTTCCTACTTTTTCACAAAATTTCAGTTTTAAAGGGGCATTAGCTGTCAAATTCATGATCACCTATTTGACTTAAAATCTCATATTTGATTCATAACATACTAAAATGTAAATCCAAATTACAAAAAGTCCAAATAAAACAATTAACATTGCATGGACTAGATATAATGTAATAGCATTTTGTGCATATTTTAGACTAAACGATATCTAATTAACCATCAAGATTACCTCTGTAGACGGCCAATTGACATTCAAACCAGATTTAAACATAATAAGGTGGATCACTTGCTTCACTTTTCAATGATGACATTCTTTTCTTTTTAATAACTGAACATGCTTAGGGCATGCATAACCCATCTTCAGCTTAAGATCAAGTAAGAGAGTCATGAATACAGGTTCAACTGATATTGAATTATTCACTTGCAAGTCAATAATACATTTGCGATGTTTTCGATCTTATTTTGACCAAATTGAACCAAACTGACTGCTAATAGCAAAATACTATTGCATTTTTCCTCTTTTAAAACTGTTTGGGACAAAGAAATCTTATTTCACTTTTTTGTCTAAATGGCAGCTTAGGCTCCTTCAAAGACAAACAACCCTTATTCATTATTCCTGATCTAAGAAGAGCAAGAATAAGATATTTCTTGCTGCATGACACCTGCTGTATGTAAATATATATATTTATATCACATGAATGTTTGTACAAAAATGTAGTTCAAGAGAATACAAACCATCAGAATTAAGAAAAGAGAAGCGAAAACTCTCCATGGCCATTTTAGGTGTCACAATTGTTTTGTTTCTACGTCGTACTGTATCTGTCCCATCGGAATCCAAATCCTGAAATAAGATAATATTTATTTCAGTTATACATATACATAACTTATGATAAAAATTACAATATAGTTATAAATCTAGATATCAGTTTTCATTTGCCTATAATTAAATTTTTGGGGGAAAGGTTTGTTTTTGTTTGTTTTTAAGGGTGTACCAGAGCTAGAGACATTTCCATAATGTCATGTATGCTACTGCCATTCTCAATGTATCTTAATAAACAGCATATCACTTCAAACCATTTGTTTCATGGCTATAAATTATTTTGTTCTACCCTAATTCTTCTATTTTGCAAGTATGCAAAATACATAATCCCTAATCAATCAAGCAGTCATATAACTATATGATTCAATCTAAACAGCCATCCACTTACAGATCAATCATACCAGCAAACAAAACTTTGTATATAGATATAATTGAGAAACCAGCAGCTATACAATGAAGGATGACCAAGTCAACTCTAGGCCAAGGTTGTGCCGAGTCTCAAAGTATCATCTTAAAGCTGCTGCTAATTTCAAGCTATTCAACATTGTTAAGTTTTATGGATTTATGCAAGTTTTAAGATGACCATGAGTTGATAATTAAACAGCATCTGAATATAAACATAAAACAATAAATCAACCCAATGAAAAGTTGGATACTATTTTAAGGCTGAGTGGTTTGATTAGAATCCTAATTTTATATCTTTAATTACATGCTTCAATACATTTTTTCAAATAGCCATGACTGACACTAAATATTAATCATTCAGAGAGATTATGATTGTCAAAGACCAAAAAAAATCATATTTAAAGATTATCCAAAGTTGTACAGCAATTATTTCCAGTAATAATTTATATACATAGATTACAAACTACAGCAAGAAATATGTAAATTTTTTGTTGGAAGATTTGTTATCTGCTATTTCAGTAGCTTGGTGGCTTTTACATTTTGAATGAATTGTTTTGATTAAACAAAACAGGAAACCTTACCAAAATACCAGTTTAATAACATATATATGGTAATTTTGAGTAAAAATAGCCAACGATGACAGAAATAGTTCATATTATGAACAAACCTATATATGCATACATACATAATATATATAAACAATCCTTACAAACATACTACAAGACAAAATTCTGCAGAAAAGCCTAAAACAACACTATCAGATTTAACATTGGACATACCAAAGTTTATCAAAGATTAAGTGCTTCTTAACCTTCAAAAGAATTTCTTATCTGTAGGAATTTCAAAAACTGTTTCCAGTAATGTCACATGGACTTTCTGTCTACCAATCAGGCTAAAATAAATTTTAACTGTGCATTTTATATCACCCAATCTGACTGAATTTTGTTGGTAATTGCACTTTTGCAGTGCACTGTTAAACCATGAAACCCAAAATCTTTTCTTTGCCATAGAATAACCTCCCTCTTTTGACAATATTGTAGGAAACACATTACATATATTTCTTTTAGTCTTATTCTGACTAACTTTATTATCAAAAGAATAATTTTGTCATGAACTGAGTCAATACAGAATTCTTACATTTATGACAATGGGAAAGAAAACCGGGGAACTCCACAAAATACCATATTCATTCTGTGAATTTATACAGTCCCCTCCTAGTTATCAGTACAATTTGTTTTAAACTGTTTATTGTAATAAAATGAGATAAATCAGTTTCATTTTTCGTTTTCACATTGCATTTTTTATTAAACATAATGAGGTTATTTCAACCTAGTATCCTATATAGTCTGCCCTAGATTTCCGTTCAATATTGTCTAATTTTATAGAGACCTATAAGGCAAGGAAGTATTATCTACTGAGACATCAAATCATTAGTTTTCATTGGAATAGATCAGGACCTCTCATTATATAACGTCTACATTCTCATCCATAAAGACAATACAATTATTTCTTACAGAGACATATACTAATGTATGGTTTGGTATTTATTACGCTATTCAGATAAAATATAGATCCAATACTTAGTCTAATGGCACCAGAAAGTTTTTCTGAGACAATCTGTGTTACATGTAATTGTATTATAGCATAGAGTCGATTTAAATGACTAAATATCCAGTCTTAACTTATTAAAAGGTAAAGGCAATATGTGATACATGAAATAGTATTACAGTAAGAGCCTTGTAAAGATATGTTATAATCACAATCTAGAGACAGAGAATATCTCATATATAAAGTCAGACTGTTGAATAGATTTAAACATAACCTGATGCATTTACTGTCTACTCATGTCATAAAGTTTCTATACTTATGGCTGCTTATGATAATTATTTCAAATTTTCTTCAACAACTTGAATGAAAATGCATAAGATTCAAACTTTTCAATATGGAAGTCTAAACTTTTTAACATTTCTTCACTTTTACCACTAAATGTTAGGTGTCACTTTTATACAAAGTAACTAATTTTACACTAGTCCCCAAATTTCAAGAAGTCCCGGACTTTGCAAGGTTTGTTATCTCATTTTTTTTTTTAAATGCCTTGTTACCTTATACCATCACTCTCTGGAAACAATGTACAACTGTTCCACTGGAAGTTTCCATGATGCTCATCCCTATGCATCATAGCTATCATGGATAACCAACTTCCAAAAAATGACTGGAAAAATAACATTGCAACAATACCAAATAATTTACCCTACTTTCAATTTATTTTTTTCTTATTCTTATTGACAAATTCTACTATTTATTCTTATATCTATTCAATTACAGATATTGATGACATTATATTACTTGTTTTTATTATCATAAATAACCTACAATCAATCAAAAAAAAGTGGTAACACCCAGAGGTTTATTGACCTGATCTGGCTGTTTAGTAAACCCTATATCAGCCCCATGACTGATGAAATAAAACATTCTCCTAAGAACCCTTGGAGCTCTGTCTTATCTGATTGAAGCCAGCATCAATTAATTGAACTGCCAACACAAGAGAAACACTGACCATATAGTTTAAAATTTTTGAATCTATATTTTCCAGATAACGAACAAAGAAGAAAAAAAACATCATGTAATTTCTAAATTTTTAAATTTACAAAATCATCCAAAATCTCTTTTGTAAGATTTAAAAATTGTTGCAAGTAGTTAGGTTTATTTCTATGCATTTTTTTTAAATATATTGGAAGCATTAAATATTGTATTTTTTACTATTTTGAATTTGACTTCATAAAAAGTGCACAAAAATAACTATCTTACCTTAATCTATGAAATCTCATGTTTTTTAATATCACTGAACTCTTAATTTCTCCTGTATTAAAACCAGCTTCCTGACCCTGAGGGTAAGAGTAATCACATCACAAGTATAGCACACCTACTACACAGGACAGGGTGTCAAAACACATTTTAATCTTGTTAGAAAACATCCATGTACCTCCAGGCCATAATATGGACAATTACCACTTCATAATGTTTATACTTACTGATCATTTCCTTATCAATTTACATAAGAAAATAGTATTAGGCCAAGTCAAATGATTTTTAAGCTATATAAAGCATTTTCAAATCTTAAAATTTTACAGATAATCTTTTGCATTTTTCATATAGCTCCTCACTTATTGTATCTTTGACTAATATTTGGGTATGAGTGTTCCTGATGAAGACAGATCCAGAAATGTGCTTCAGGTGCACAGAATTTATAAAGAACTATTTTCAGTTTCTAGAATGGCAACATAAATTCAATTTATGGTGTTTTTAAACCAAATTGCATATAAAGATAGTAGCTTATTAGCAAATCTGTTTCAATGTATTTCTTGCTTCCATGCATTATAAGTGCTGATCATCTTGGTACTAAACCCCAAGTCAGTTGTTAGCCAAAAAAAGGCTATAGTTTTAAAGTTTTAAGTGTTTAATTACATATCAGCACTCATTTGGTTTTTGTATGCAAAAACAAAATTTAATTTCAAAAATCAATACTTTAATAATGGTAAAATATATTCAAATTTGAAGTTTATGAATTTTAAACAACTTGGGACAACATTCATCCCTTTCTATTGTAAGAAACTAAAATTTCAGATGATTAAAAGAGGTACACTTCCGATTCACTTGATATATTTCATTAGCAGACAGGCCTGACTTGTACAAGATCAAATGAAAATTGGAAACGGTCAAACCTTGTCTCCCATTAGAATATTTCTTGTCCAACGAAAGGTCTGTCTTTGTGATAGGAAATTATCAATAGTTATAGAAATCGATGTCTTTTATAAAGTCAAAGTGTTTATGCACACATATCACCTGTAAAAGGTTGTGTATTTGCCTAGACATGATATTTCTAAGTGCTAAGTTTTTTGCTTTGTTTTAAACAGTGTAGGATGCCAACTTCACAAATAATTCAGATACTGGAGTCTATACAAAAAACATTTTGAAGGCTGATAATTTTCTAAGTAGTAGTATGTAGGTGCAATGTTCAACCTGAAACATAACCAAAACATTAGGTTGACCTTAGACTGTCATACAAATATTCTGTCAAATATTACATAAATCACATCATGGATTTACAGATATGTAAAACTTTGATTGAATACATGAATATGCAATAATTGCTAGTCTGTTCATTGTATACTTCTTTCTAAATTTTATGGTGAAGTAGTATTATTTACATTCCATCGTCATGAGCAATATTTTTCATAACTTTTCTGTAATGAAAAATTCCAAAAGTGTGCATGCAGCATTTTGTTTTATTTATATATTATTGTGTATACAGTTAGAATTTAGTTGCAGTTTACAATTTTTTAAGCTGTTTTCTGTGCTTGTTTGTTACAAAAAGTCCAATTACAGTTTTAATATCTCAAGGATATAGAACTGTAAAATAATGCAGACTGGGAGAAGAGACAGCTAATACTGACTGCTACTGTCATGTAATGGTGTGTCGAAAAGGTAAGAAGTTTTGCAGTAAAAAAGAGTCACCCATGTCCCGTTCCAGGAACAATTGCTGGTTTTTTAACATGTAAAGAGTATAGCATTCTCCATATAAATGATTTGGGTTTATTTACCTAGAAAGATCAGAC